GTTAGTTAGTTAGTTAGTTAGTTAGTTAGTTAGTTAGTTAGTTAGTTAGTTTGTTTTATTTATAAAGTGCCTTTCACAGAAATATATTCACAAGGTGCTGTTCAATCATTAACAGTATAAAAATGGTGGAAAGAATAAGATGAAACAGAAAAACATAATTAAACATAAACAACGAAAAATTGAAAACATCAAATCAAGAAAAAATTTCTAAAATTGTAAGGTCAGTGCAGGGCAAAATATACAATAATACACAAAAACATAATGAATGCGGGAGAGAAAAATATGGCGTAAGTTCAAAAATTAAAAACACAGATTGATGAGCATTTACATTTGGGGTAGGCTGGCGTTAGTGGTGAAAATGGTTAGCTTAACGCTTGAGAGAAAAAGTAGGTTTTTAGGAGTGACTTGAAAGAGACAATGTTATCAAGGGAGATCTATGAGATGTAAGGAGATTATGTATTGCAGGGAGCCATAAATTAGACTGATGTGCTCTTTATAACATATTCATTTTTATTATATATTTTTTACATTTCTTTTTATTTCCATGCAGGCAAAGCAGAAGTATGAAAAGGAAGAGAGGAAGAGGGAGCTGAAGAGGCTGAGAGGAGAGGACACTTGGATTCTCCCTGATGTTGAGCAGAAACTGCAGCAGATGGAGGAAGTAAGTTTCTGCTTAGAAAGTGTAATTAGGCAGTCGTAAGATGAAACTATCTTCAGTTACTTATTGCAGAAACTTGTTTCTGAGAAAAAAAAGAGATATTCTAAAAAAAAAGGTTATAGCTAATAACTAATTTAATATGGTAATAGTAATGGTAATTTTGTGTCTGACAAATAACTATAAATATTCAGCATGCAGACCATAACTACAAATTAACGAGGGGAAATGCAATGTTTTAATTTCAACAGGAAGGATCTGTGAAGAAAAAAAAGAAGAAAGACAAAAAACTCAAAAAGAAAAAGGAGAAGAAGAAGAAAGTCAAGAAGGAGAAGACAACAGAAGTGGAAGATGGCTCCAGTGACAGCTCACAGGTAGATTATATCTCACTGCATGACACTTTTAAATGACGTTTGAACAAATCTTACATCTGAAGAATGTTTATGTCTATTTTATTATATGAAAGTAAGATAAAGGTGAGACCGTTCTTTTTCATATTTACTGTAAGTAAAATTAGCCTGAAGCTTTTCTTTGTAACAAAGTTACTAGACAACTGTTTAAGCTGAAATCTATGTTGTTATTCAAGGACATTGCAAAAAAAAAAGGTGGCAGGTTGAACAGTGAGACTACAAGGAGCGAAGATCACAAAGCTACAGGACTTCAATGGATAAGATTAGGAATGAAATCATCAGAGGTACAGCACAGGTTGAACAACTAAGCGATAAAGTTAGAGAGACCAGACTGAGATAGTTTGGACATGTCCAGAGGAAGGACAGTGGGTATATTAAGAGAAGGATGTTAGAGATGCAGCTGCAAGGAAAAAGACAAAGAGAAAGGCCAAAAAGGATATACTGGATTTACTGGATTTGCAGTAAGAGAGGACATGGAGGTAGTTGGAGTGAGAACTGAGTGAGATGGAGGAGGATGACTCGCTGAGGCAACCCCTGAAGAGGGAACAGCAGGAAAAAGAAGAAGTGTAATAAATGCAGATTGGTGTGTCTCTTTCTGTCCTAATGTTTTCATCTCCTGTTATCTCGTTGTCTCTCTGTTTTTGATTTGTTTGTATCAGGACTCGGGGGATGAGTGGGTTGAGGCTCAGACGAAACCTGTGAAAGCCTGGAAAGTTCCGGAACAATCTAAAACTTCGGAGGGCAGCTCCAGCCCAGCCCAGAATGTCCAGGTAGGAACCGTACTCTGTCCCACGTTGAGTCAGTTGAGCTCTTTGGTTCCATACTTTATTGAGTAATTTAGCTTTTTATTAGAACTTGCCAACTTGAAAATATTTCAAAGCTTTGATTTTCTTAAATTAGACTTTCATTTATCCTGCTTCTTTCAAACTGTTTTTGTCCCACAGAGGGATGAATGGATGACTTTTGATTTCCTGGCTATGAAAACCACGTCCACTTCAGAGAGACGAGCAGAGAAGGATCGACAGAAGGAGGCAGAGAGAGAGAAGGCTCAGGCTATTGAACAGGTCTGTGTGTTCATGTGTCAGCTTTTATTTTATTTTTATTTTTATTTTTTACTATTTTTCCTGTTTTCTTTTCTAGCTGGGAAGTGTGAACACAAAAGGATCTGTAAGAATGAGAAAAGGAGCGATCATGTCATTCTTTGCACAGATTGCATATAATTTAAACAAAAGGAACAAACTGTTATAGACACCAGCATATTGTGATTTGTGTATTTTTTCTGTCCTCAGGGTGTTTACGGGTTATTTACAAAATTTTAGTAAACATGTTTGTTTCTCTCAGGCTGGTTTGCACAAACTGGAGCTCAACCCTTATTGGAAAGACGGAGGATCTGGTTTGCCCCCAGAGGAAACTGCTCAAACTGCAGCAAAAAAAGGTAAAGATCATCCATTGTGACAATCAAAGCATTTTTGTAATTTTGAAAGCAGAACATGAATAAAATTTTCTATTTTTTTTTAGCACATTCAAGTCCTATTTTGCATTATTTTTTTCCATTCAAAACACAGACAAAAACCAAAGTAATAATAATAAAAAGAAGAAAAATAAACCTGAAAAAAAATCTATCTATCTGTCTATCTATCTATCAATCTATACCTATACCTATACAGTGGGGAAAATAAGTATTTAGTCAGTCACCAATTGTGCAAGTTCTCCCACTTAAAAAGATGAGAGAGGCCTGTAATTGACATCATAGGTAGACCTCAACYATGAGAGACAAAATATGAAAAAAAATTGAGAAAATCATTTTGTCTGACTTTTAAAGA